GTATGGCACTTCCCTTAAAAACCTGGGAACAGATAACCATATGATCCAGTAATCCCACTGCTAGGGATGTATCGTGGAGAAATAAGGGCCATGACCAACCAAAAACACCAAACTCATTGTCATCAAGTCAATTCAACTCATAGTGACCCCTCCTTGGGTTTCCACAGTGGTTGGTGGGTTTGAACCACCAGCCTTCTGGTTAGCAGTCAGATGCCTTATATACTATGCCATCGGAGCTTCTAGAGCCATGACAGGAACAGATATTTGCACACCTGTACTCATCACATTATTTACAATAGCAAAAAGGTGTAAACAACTTATGTGCCCATCAATAGATGAGTGGATAAACAAACTATCATACATACACACAATGGGCTACTATGCAATGTTAAATAACGATGAATATGCAACACACCGCATAACATGGATGAACCTAGAGGACATTATGCTGAGTGAAATTAGTCACAAAAGGGCAAATATTGTATGAGACCACTGCTGTGAAAACTACTGAAAAATTTTCACACAGGAACAATCTGAGTGGGAGGGGAAAGAAGAGTAAATCACTAACTGGAGGGCAGACATGCATTAACTTGAGCGAAGGGAAAGAATACATACTACAGGGAAGTCAGAACAACATAACCACAGTAAAGAAAGACACTGAAAGTTACCCAAGAGTAAAAAACAACAGTGGTAAATGCTATTACATATACAATCTTGCAACAATTTGCACTTTTTCATTATTGTTTAAAATAACAAACAATAATGTACACATGGTTATACAGGCTGTTATGTAAGCTGAATAGGGGTGGGACGGCATATGGGAGTACACTCAAGTATACACCTAGAGTGGGCAAAGGATATTCTTACATATACACTAGTACATGCTGCAAACATACTCACATATATAACAGTGTACAGGGGACACAATCATGAAAACCTCATAGCTATAACCAAACACCTCCTAGGACTGAGATACTGGGCTTGAGGGCTAGGAATCATAGCCTTGGGGAACACCTCAGTCAACTGGCATACCAGTCCATAAAGACAATGTTCTACACTCTACTTTGATGAGTAGCAAGTGGGGTCTTAAAAGCTTATGAGTAGCCATCTAAGGTGCAATTATTGGTCTGACCATCTATCACTGGGAGCTCTGGTGGCGTAGTGCCTAAGGCATGTGACTGCTAACCAGAAAGCTAGTGGTTCAAACCCACCAGCCACTCCTTAGAAGGAAGACTGGGCAATCTACTTCCATGGTGGTACCGCCTCAGAAACCCAAGGAGGGGTCACTATGAGTCAAACTGACTCAATAGCAATGAGTTGTTTGTTGTTGTTGTCTACCACTGATCACTCTGTCTGGGATCACAAGAGAAGGTATGAATGAAAAGGTACAACAAAATTCAAATTCATAAAAAATCAGATTTACTGGTCAGAGACAAGTGGAACTGGAGCCTATAGTCCTTAGATGCCCTTTTAACTTACAAGCCACTCGCTGCCACTCCTCAGAAGGAAGGTTGGGCAATCCTACTTCCGTAGTGATACTACCTCAGAAACCCAAGGAAGGGTCGCCGAGTCGGGCTGACTCGATGGCACATAACAACAACAACAAAGCCACTCGCAGATACCACCTTTCAGGCATATAAAAGATAAGTCTATACAAAGTGAATGGGAGCTCTGGTGATAGTGCCTAAGGCATCTGACTGCTAATGAGAAAGCTGGTGGTTCAAGCCCACCAGCCACTACTAAGATTGGGCAATCTACTTCCATAGAGATACTGCCTTGGAAAGCCAAGGAGGGGTGTTATGAGTCAAATCCATTCAAAGATGGTGAGTTTCTTTTTTTTTTTTTTGGTTTACATAGAGTGAATAGGAACTCAGGTGGCATAGTGCCTAAGGCATTTGACTGCTAACCAGAAGGCTGGCGGTTCAAACCCACCAACCACTCCTTGGAAGGAAGGTTGAGCACTCTACTTCCATAGTGATACTACCTCAGAAACCCAAGGAAGGGTCACTATGATTTGTGTCCTACTCAATGGCAGTGTGTGTGTTTTGTTTTGTTTTTTCCTTTTTTAATACAGTGAATAACACTTGGGAAGAATATGCTACTCAGTACAATCAACTATGTAAGTCGAAAAGGGCAGCATTTGCCCAAAAACAAAGTTAAGGAGGCAGGAAAGGGCAGAAAAACTGGGAAAATGGAAACACAGAATCCAAGGTGGAAATGGGGAGAATGCTGACACATTATGGGGATTTCAAAAATGTCCCAGAACAATCTTCATGTAAATTGCTGACTGGGAAACTAATTTGCTCTGTAAACTTTCACCCAAACCATAAAATAAAATGAATTACTGGCATCATTTGTTCATTCAATAAATATTCCATATAAGCAGAACTTATAACACAACTTGTAAAATGTTATTATAAAGAATAAGAAAAAAAGTACTATAGAAAACTAGAGAAGGAAGAGATTAAACCTAAACAATTATAAAAATCTTAACATCTGGCTTATTAAAGGATGTTTTAAAAATTTTGGATTATTAAAGGTTGTTGTCTGTCAAGAACATGTGGTCATGACCCTACATTCCAAGCACAGAGAAGCCAATTTTTAAAGGCATAGGGACATTCAAAGGCCTTGTCAGCTTGGGAATGTGCAGCTGAAGCTTCAGCAAACTGATGGTGGTAGGAGAAAAATGGTGAAGAGGAGGTGGGAAATAAACCGGAGTTAAGACTGGTATTAGATGGAAAGAAAGTTAAATTCTCTATATAAATGAAAATGTTTAATTTCAGCATTTCTGTAACTAAGCTGCAATACAAATAGTAAATGTGATTACCAACAACAAAATAAAAAACTGAAACTCACTGCCATCAAGTGAAATCTGACTCACAGCAACCCCTCCTTGGGTTTCTGAGGCAGTATCTCTATGGAAGTAGATTGCCCAATCTTCTTTCCAAGGTGTGGCTGTTGGGTTTGAAGCACCAGCCTTCTGGTTAGCAGTCAAATGCCTTAGGCACTATCCCACCAGAGCTCAACAGCAAAATGGTAAGTATTCTGATACTCCTCAAAATAAAATTACAACTACCTGAAACAACTTACTTTCCAGAATTCAACTATTAGAAATGTTATTAGAAAAAATATTTTCCTAATCTAGTACCCAAGTTAACATTTACTTTGAATAGGAAATATAGAATGACTATCCTTACACACGTCATATACATTTTTATGTATACAAATTAGATATACACACAGAGCTACACAAACTAAGTAACATACATGTCTACTAAAATCACTCAGTCACTACATAATGAGGTGATACAATGCTCAGGCACTCCTATGGACATTGATATTGTCCTACTCCATTCTCCTTCTCCCTCCCTGTCTCTATCTAGAGTATGTTTACACATTGATGAGAATAATCCTGTATGAAGGGAGAAATCCATGATGATGATTATAGTCTTTGTTCTCCATCTACTTGAATCTTAAGAATAAAATGGATAGAAACCAGAGCCCAAGTGGGGCAGCTGGCTTTTTACAGGAGTTAATGTCATGCTCCCCATTTTAACAGGACAGAAGAAATATTGGTTTATAGATGTAGTACTAGATTTATAAATGTGATGCGAGGATTACAGAATTTCCTTCTGCTGGCTTGGGAACAGGGGAAAATGAGTCTTAGGCAGTCTGAACAGACATTTTAAAAAATCCTTTCAGAGAATAAGGAGGAAAGTGTACCCAGGGCATATACTAGATTGTGGGCCAACACTGACTGTGATCATGAATCTTACATATAATCCATCTACCTAATTGGCAATTTGTTCTGGCAACATTCAGTTATGTAAATAAAACACAAATGGTTTCATTCAGAGTTGGTGTTTCACCAAGCACAATATGCTGGGGAGGGGTGTCAGAGACCATTAACAAGAGAGCGATTTCAAGATGGACCATCAACTGTAAAATGAATGCATAATGAATACATAAAACGAATGAGGTAAAGTGTATGTGGGGGAAGAGTGGTAGCTTTAATTTTAAAAAGAAGTATCATCAATGGATTATTAGAATATTGCTGCAGAAGACATACTAAAGTCAGCAGGAAGGACTGATGGGAGTTACCCATAAAAGAGTACTTGGAAATGATATTTTGGAGATGCTACAATTACTGCAGACAGGAAGGTTCTGATCTGTGACCCCACATACCTGAGATAAGGTGGAAAAGGATCATTTGAAGATGAAATAATCAAGGAAGGGAAAGGTTAGGAGGTTGCATGGGCAACTGAACCCAAATACATTGGTAACAGCTGTTATCAGTTCAGTCATGCAGTACTCCTATTCTTAGCTGTATTTCACTTGACTTTCAGCTGCAATCATCTTCAGAGAATTTACATAAAACCATTGAAAGGTCCAAATGAGTATGTGGTTAGACTATTGCAAATCCATCTCAAAAAGCTTTCATATTTCCGAATTTTTCTTTCCTACCCAAAACTATTAAATCTCAACACAGTAAGTTTGGGATTTGAAGCACATTAGTTTGTGATGTCCTAACAATGCATACACTCACACAACAAGTATCAGGAGTCTGACAGTAACAGCCATTCAAAATTCCGGAGCTGGACTAAGAAGTCTCTTCTAACAGATGGCCAAAGTGGTGAAAGGCTGTCCTGTACTAATCACTGGCAGAGGGCTGTTTCACACTCCCAACAAATTGCCAGAGCCCTGTGCATAAGTCCTCCCACCCTAGTAAAAACATAGAAAGAATTCGAGGACGGAAACTGTATCAGCAGAACCGTTCCCGTCCCCACACACCGCACCCTCGTGCCAGAGGCAAGCTGACACTTCGGGGAGCAGACACAGCATCCTCCTCTCAGCCTCCCGTGGGAGCCGTCTGGTAGTGCGCGGGGCAGACGGAAGGGAACTTCAGGCCACGTGGAACGCAGCAGTTCAGGACGCTCGGCCACCCTGGCTTGGCTAAGTCCATCCAGCCCCAAGAGGCCAACGGCGGCCAGGCCACTCACACTTTGTACGGTAGCCGCGGGTCCGACGTTAGCGTGATCTTAAAGGAAACCTTCGACCTGAGGAGGAGAGCGAAAGAGAGTTAGGTCAGACAGCAGGATCGCGATTCGGGACCGCAGGTAAGTGAATACATACATGGTGATCAGTACGGAAAGGCTTCACTCTGATTCCGCCGATTACCACCACTTCCTCTATGGGTCCCGGCAAGGTGGGGAGAGAGGGGGTGGCCCCGCCCCCTCATACCACGTCTCCCCTACAGACTGGGGACCTCCAAAGTTACTGTTGTTCAAGACAGTGCCTAAAAGTTGCCTACATATATTAGTGTTGGATGGAGACTTCAAGTTACAAATAGCTATTATTTTTGGATTTGTATCTTGGAGATAAAAGTCTAGGCCGCAAGAGTAGAACAGTTTTCCAAGTACAGTTAATTACTGCAGTAATTTAGTCAGGCAATGCTAGCGTGGGCACAGACCGGAGGCCTCTAGGCCCCAGCTAGGCAGGTTTGGGCGGAAGTAAGCGAACCAAGGAAGGGCGGAAGAGAGAATTGGGGCGGAAGGCGGGGCAGAGGGCCGGGCGGGGCTGCGGAGAGGGGCAGGGCCTGGGAAGACTCGCTTCAAGTTGCTAAGGCAACCTGCTTTCAGGACTGCCTATTGATTCCCTGGAAACTGGAATCTTAATACGCTTTAGTATTCGTATTCAGCCTTTCCAGAAAGTCCACCTTGTTAGTCCCATATTTTTTTCCCTTCACATTTTACTGTCCAATACTGACTTCTGACTGTTTAACAGATACCAGAGTTACCATCACAGTAACTGGTAACGGAGAGAAACACTACTTGTTATAGGTGTGTGCCGGGGTTACTGAGAAAGAAAGTCCTTGGCACTCGGCGTGTGGTTGCAAGGATTGACCTCATAAACAGGAGATTTTGGCACAGGGCGCCGGTTGAGGACCATTAACCACATCTATTCAGTTTAACAACAAATTCTGAACCCTTTCTAAGTGCTAAGCTCCAAGCGAAACGGTAGAGATCTCAAGATGAATAAAAACCGTCTAGGAACTAACAGCCAGAAGTTCTTGTACCGTGAGGAGAGAAGACTACACACTAGTTCTCCATTCCAAATCTAAGTATCTGAGTATGGAAAAGAAACATCTCTCTCACAATGACTGTAGTGCCCTTTTGCAGACCGCTGCAATGAATAGGCAAAACAGGTGGGTGCTAACATAATGGGGGGATATAGTTAAATCTTTAAAGAGCTCTGGTGGCGCAGTAGTTACGACATTTGGCTGCTAACCAAAAGATTGGTGGCTTGAACACACCAGTCCCTCCATGGGAGAAAGATGCTTCAGTAAAGTCTGCTTCAGTAAAGATTTACAGGCTTAGAAATGAATTATGGGTTGGTTCTCCCTATGGGGTCAGAATCCCCAGGATGGCAGTGAGTGGAGTTAATCACTAGGGTACATGTAACATTCTCAAGGGGAGATAGCTAGGAGGAGACTAGGCAAGGAACTGAAGTGGGTTTGCTAATAACCAATTTCAAACTTGCCATAATTTTGTAGTAGGCTGCTCTTCCATGGCAAGAAAACCCTGCTTCTGGAAAATGTTATTAGTTACTGTGGAGTCTGGACTGTGACCCCCCCCCCCATGTACATCAGAATGAAGGTTGCCTGGTACTGTGCCATCTTCATGGTGGTCGGTGTGCTCAAGTTTGTTGGTGAGACTACCGGTGTATTTTGAGCATCTTCCTAGTTAAAGGCCTCATTGCCCAGCACTGTATCAGGCAATATTCTGTTGTAAAACATAAAATTTTTATTGGCTAATATTGGGAAGTAGATCACCAGGGCTTTCTTGTAAGTCTGTTCTAATCTGGAAAATGTGCTGAAACCTGTTCACCATGGGTGCATCTGATGACATTTGGAATATTTGGTGGTGTAGTTTCCAGCATCACAGCAATACAAAAGCCACCGAAGTATGACAAACTCACAGATAGGTGCTGGTATACGGAAATAGAGCTCCAACACTCTCATGCTATTTGTTGTCTTTTTTTTTTTTTT